TGTTTTTAACATAATATTGAAATTGCCATAGCAGGATGAGCCAGGAACTTTGAAACTGTTTTGTGTTTTTATCCTGGGTTTTAGAAAGCGTAGAAGGACTTAAGGCTAAAGACAAAGATATATTCAGATGGACTTCCTGAAAGTTTGAAGTAAAAGTTAGTACAAGAAAAAAGCCCATCCCTAACCTGACATCCCCAGCAAGTCATAACCTTTAAAAGTAAAGTCAGCATTTACCATACAGACTTCTTCCCGAATTCCAGCCTAATATCAGAGTCATTACACTTCATTTCAGCTTCCGTCAGTACATATAGAGGAGGGACAAGAAGGCTTCGTTAGAGGGAAATTTTCAATGAGACAGAGAAACAGAGTCAATACTTAACAGGTAACACTCCCAATTGCTCTTCCCTGCTTTTACAATCTCAAGCCCTTGATAGAAGTCAACTTGAAAAACTCTACAGAGAGAAAGCTAAAGAATGGTGTCAAGGCTACGAAAAAAAGTTTAAAATGATGAATAAAAGATGAAGTACTAATGATACATAACAGCCATCAGGCAACTTTGGGTTGTTCAATTCTTAACCCAAATAATTTTTTGCACACGCATCTTAACATATACACTTCCAAAACATTTGTCTGGCCTCAATTAAGGAGGAAAAAAAAAAGAATTTGTCTGGTTAGGAACACCTACAACACATCTTAAACCTGTAACATAGTAGCCCTTTACCTACCATTTTTCAGAGAAACATTCTGCTTGGTGATTTCTGATGGGCAATTCTGGTCCACATTTTCTCTGAGTCCCTGGCATACATTATATGTGACAATTACTTATGTCAAAAGAGTTTCAGTGCTATTTTTAACAGTGCCTGCTCAGCACAGTAAGCAGTCTTTTTATCATGACAGTACATAGAAGACAATATAGTGATGTAAAAGACAATGTAACTTACTTCACTAGGATTTTTCTATGTGATTAGCAAACTTCAAATAAATACAAATGCCTTCAAATAATTTTAAAGCATGTCCTGTTTCATTGTTTGATTATGGAGCGGTGTCAAAAAAAAGCGTCCAACGTTGAAAGGCAAATATCCACATATGCTTACCTCCAAATTAGTGTTTATTCACATTTGCAATCTAAATTTATATGCATAATACTCTTGAGCAGAAGCTTCTTATAAATAAAAACCTATTCTCAAAGTACAAAGCTGTTTAAGTTGTCAATACTAGCACTCAACTGTAGAGAACTTACGAGGTAAAGGTAATGGTACCCAATGGTATTTATTATATGAAGTACTCAATACAAGCAGAATTTGTTATTGGCTTTTGAATTAGCAGTGGTGCTTCTCCATGTTAAAGCAGCTTTCAGTTCTTGACAAAATTTACATTAATAGTACTTTTCTTTGTATTCTAGATGCCTCAGATTTATAAATCAGGAAATGTTACTCTGTCTGGATAGGCAACTAAAAAGTCTATCTCCTTTACAGGGAAAGTCCTGTATGAATACAGTGAAAAACTCAGTATAGTTTTGAAACTCCACTTAAACCTTCCAAACAAAAAAATCCAAAAGAGTAATACATACTTTTATCATTTTCAATTAAGAGAGCTACCAAAAAATACAGAAAAGTAAAGCTACAGCCTATGACACCAGCAGTAAAGTCCGCTTTTATGATTTTAACTTGAACTACTTTCAACAAGACATGTAAGTTTTAGGGGGAGTTGCTCATTTTGCACACCCCCGAAAACAGTGAAGAAAAATTAAAATGAAGTCTCCAATAAGTGAGGAGCATTAATATTTCAGAAATCAATAAATGTTGTTCTTTTTTTTATCCACAACAGCCAAATGCATTTGCTTCTAAATTAAGTTTAACTTCATAAAACATGTTTTATTGTGATTTGCCACACAAGTAAAGATGCACATTCTTACTTAAAACATTACTGAATTTTTAGAAACATTTATTTTTATTTGAGCTCCATACATCTAATCCTCCTAGGAATGTCAGCTGATTATTTTCATTATCCATCAAGAGAATGATGGTAATAAAATCAAGACTTGATTTCTGTGTCCTGGAAAGGTGTACGGCGTATATCAAAAGGCATTAGGTTGCCTATGAATTATTTCATTTCTCTAAAATGTCTTGTATTAGTTATTTCTCAATTTCATGGAAGTTAATGATCATGGCTACAGTAAAAAAAGCAACATAATTCAAACAGCAAGTAAAGATAGATTCCAACTCCTGGTCCTTTTCTCTCAGCCCAGTAATTTTCCTGAAGTCTTTTCCTCTCATTAGATAAACATTTTCTTAGCTTATCTTGTTCTTGTATCAGTGTTTATTCATAATTTTGGCTTAAATGCAACTATGTTCTGGCCAATATCAAATGAGATTCAGCAGTAAAAATGGATCACAGATCTGCAAACCTTTGAGATAACTTTTAAGAAGCAGGTGGGAAGAAGGTGAGATGAAAGCAATAAAAGATTAGTTTTAAACAAATACTAAACGTATTTGTTTTATATCAAAATTGGCTAAATACCATCTTTTTTTTTAACATATTCTTTAGATTTGTCTTATACCTGATAAGTCTACTTTGATCATCAAGAATAATTACAATTAGATACGAAAAATACAAGGGTTCATATTTTGCTAACATAATACTTTGCTGAAATAGAACTTAACTAGAGACAGACTGCATATCACTTGCTCACTTTCAGACATTGACTTCTTTCAGCCAAAGTATTCTTTCATTCACAAGTGCCAATTTGTCACAGTTGAGCACGTAATTTTCTTTAATAAATTTTCTTTAATAATCAGATTGTATTTTTACTTTCCTTTCTTACAAATATATACTTGAAAATTCTCTTACACAGAATTCACTTAGGTGTATGTCTAAACTTCGTGCTTTCTTCAAATATTAATTCCCTGCGTAATTAAAACTTCCTGAGCATGTCATTCACAGTCATTCAACATTTTCAATAGCTTGCCCACAAAGTAGTTTCCTCCTAACTGCCTCATTCCTGTAGAGATCTGCAAAATGCCTGATTTTTTTTCAATTTTATTTTAGGCAAATCTGAATAATCTAGAGATTTAACATGCAGAGTCACTTACTGTAGGTTCATGGTGTTCCCTAGTAGACTGAGGGTTGTGAAACTCTTGCTAGGGAAGCAGAGCAAAGTTGCTTTAAAAAGACAGCAGTACTCTAGACATTCCAAGCTTCTGAGTTTTTTTTTTTTTGTACATGTGGCCAAAGCTTGTCTGAATTTCATCAGAAATGTTTCTTTGCAGAGTGTCTTCTAAAGGTCCCACAGATGGTTGAGAAAACCAAAGAGAGTTCACAGAGAACTCTGATAGTTTCACCAGTTTCTACTACTACTTCACTCCTCTCAGTCACAGTTTCCTTCACTTTCTTCAACATCATTCTAATGTTTGGATAGTTTACAATATTTAGATGTCCCATGTTGGTGTGGTGGTTTCACTGACGGTTAGATAGGCTCCACCACATCACCCTCGCAGCCCGACACCTCAAATGCCCAAGGAAAAAAATCCAATGAAGAAAAGCTCATGGGTTGACATACAGTCATGGACATCACTCATCAATTACCAACCCTGGTAAAACGGACACAGTATAAGGAAGATAAAAGTAACTTACCACCTAACAGACTAAGGCAGCGAGAACTAAAAGCAAACTTCAAACACATTCCTCCTATCCACTCCCTTCCACCTTCTTCCCTCAAGGGGCAACAGGTGAATGGGGAATGCAGGCTATAGTCAGTCCATAATTCTTAGTCTCTGACACTCCCTTATAGTCACTCTCTGCTCCTATCTCTGCATGGTTTTCCTTCCATGGGGTGCCATCTTTTATAAACTGATCCCATGTGGGCACTCAAGAGGCTGCAGCCCTCCAAGCACTACTCCAACATGGGCCCACATGATATGGCCCATCTTGCAGGAGCATACTATTCCAGCATGGTCTCCACAGACTGCAGCTTGTCAGGGGCTCTCCATGGGCTGCAGCTCCTTCAAGCCACATCCACTGCTGCACAGTGGGCTCCTCCACGGCTGCACATGGAGATCAACATTGTGTGGCGCCCACGGGCTGCAGAAGGATGCAAAAGCTCTTCATGAGCTTTTTCTGAGCTGCGGCTGGAATACCTTCTGCCCTTCTTCACTGACATGCCCACAAGGAAGTCTCCGATATTTTCTCACTCTTCTCTCACAGCTACTGTTGCAAAGCAGTTTTTCCCTTAAATTTGCGCTCCCAGAGGCGCACCTAGCATCACTTACAGCTGAGCTCTGCCTAACATCAGATCCCTATTGTGTCTGGCTCTGACCTAACATGGGGCAGCTGCTGGGCTCTGCTCACAGAGGCCATTCTGAGGCCCTACAGCTGCCAAAACCTTGCCACATAAGCCCAATAAAATTGGTCCTTCATTTTGTGCAGTCTTTTCAAACTTTAAATACTTTTCCACTTTTTTTTTTTTTTTTTTTTTTTAATAGAGATTACGTATCTTTTTAAACAGCCTTGTGCTTTCATGCCTGATTGTGAATGCACACACACTTAACAAACGTTTCTTTAACACTTTCAAAATTACATGAGAATACTGCCTTTGGCATATCTAGAGATGTAACTTCTATCACCTAGGGCAAAATGTACTTGTGGACTGAAAGTGTGAAATTGAAGTTCTGCCTTCAATTTTGCTTTATTACATAAAATACTTGAAGAGCTTATTTCGAGATGCATTACAAAAAATATATTTTGTGTAAGTCATTCTGAAGTTAACTAGAAATGTTTGGGGAAGATCTATTAAAACTCCTGGTTCTGAGCTCAAACAACAAAGGATCAACACAATGAACACATGCATGTGCAGCAGTGAAATCAGACCACTCCATCAGCAAGTTGGTAGCTGATATAATACATGATACAAATAATAACATAATAGAAAACCAATTAGATAATTTCTACCCACTGTTCTTTATTAACTGTCACCAAGGTAAACGTCCATTCCCTCTAAAAGATGTTAAAACAAAAAGAAAGAAACTAAGTAACCAATTTTTTCATGGATTTCTCTAAACTTCCAACAACTTTGCTTTCAGATGTTTACTTTCCTTACACCCTTGTAACAACGAATCTATTCAAATATAAAGTTCTAAGTAAAGATTTCACAGTTTTTATAGCTTTCATGCAATTAAGTTTTCTATTACTTGCAACTCCAAAAGTAGAAAAGCACTAAATTGATGATCATTTTCATCTGAAAAGATCCGATTACTAAAAGTTCACTGTAAGAAATTCTTCTAGCTCTTAATTATTTGGCCAGGCATTGATAATTTTTTTTCCTCATGAAGTTAACATATTTTTCCAGTTTCTCTCTCCATTTACAGTAAGGTTTTGTGGTTTGGGTGATTTTTTTTTTTTTTTGTTATCCAGTGACAGAGAAAGGTAAAGCAGTTGTATTTGTACATCACATCACATTTCAGATTGCTAGGACATCAGGATACAATCTGAACTGTAAATTCTCTCCTCAAATATCCATTCACAATGATAAATATTCTAATCAGATATACTTAATCTGCTTTTTTACTTCCACCAATGACATGCCAAAGATGTCAAAGAAAACACATTTTAGAAGTTAAGGAATAAACAAATCAAAATCTACACATTTTTATTTCTTTAAGTGATAGAACTCCCTTTTCTTCTCTGAAACATGAATAGTTGTTCTCCTTCCCCACACTGCATGTGCATTCACTGCTGAATGTATGCAGAAGCAGTGACCATTATAGCAGTTCAACTTCACTTTTTAAGGGATCAATACAGTGGTTGATGCTTTTGGAAAAGACACATCCCCTAACACAGTTAAATTTTTATTAACCAGTACAGGTTCAAACCAAATTATAAAGTGACGAAGTTACTTTGTATTCAGTTATTTCTCATTAAAAACAAGCTCCCATTCCTATGAATCCATACATCTTTCCAAGGAAGAAAGAAAAAGAAGTAGATGCTGAAAGTAATCTGAGCAGGTTCATAAAAGCTGAAAAATGAAGTTCTTCAATTAACTGTTTTCACTTCCTCCACTTCAGATCAGTATATACAGGTACAGTGCACTGAAGGATAGACCAAGCACAATGATCAAATACATAACTAGCTTAAGGCAATACAATCATTTCTGCTCCTCAGACTAAATCAGTAACATTTGTATTTATATTAAGATGTTTCTAGATTTAAGGTATTGAGACACATCTCATCTCTATGGTAGTAGGTCGCTGTAAAAGTAATACCTCCTATTTATTTCCATAGAAACAATATCAGACACAAAAAAAGCACAATAACACTATTTGATAGAACAAATTCTCAGATGCAAACCACCATGATCAGTTACACGTTTTCCCCAGTGATGAATAAGATGCTCATAAAATCTGCGTCAGTGGAGGTGACTCACTGTTGATGTCACTACTGCTAAAACACACCACCCATCACCTCACTGTGTTCACATCCAATGTTTGGCCTCCATTTACATTCAGCAAGCACCAACAAATGTCAACAGGTGCCATTTTTTTCCAAATAGAGGTACTCAATGACATACCTTTGCACACTCAGCTGCCATTTTGTCCGACTGCCCCTCTATTACTGTCTGTCACACGGCAGCAAAATGTAATAGTTGTGGGAAGGCTCAAGCTCTACTGTCATACCACCATCTGCCTATGACATCATTGTCCAACATAAAATAGGAGGCATTACTTTTTGGGAAGATTTTAAATTTTTTTTGGTATTACAAAGCAATATTTCTTCCTACTACTTAGCTCTATCTAAATAGATGACAGTACAATCCATATTCATAGGAATCACGTACAGTTAAGTCCACTGGTTTTGATTATCACTTCAGACAACTGAGTATCTATTAAAGTCTTGCCAGGATCACTAGAGAATGGAAATCACAGAAAAAAATAACTTTTTTTGTCTGAATTACTATTCTTAACTTCACTTGCTATAGCATGATCTTCAATTTATATAGAAGCTAGACAACTCTTGCAAATCTATTTATTGCAGATCTTCCTAGAACAAGATCAGAGTCTGATCTAGAGTGTAGTTCTTGAGAAAACGGAAACAATACTGGGAACTCCAGTTGCAGAGTTTTTCATGGACTTCTCTACAAAAGAATTATAAATTTTAAAATGTCAGCACTGTGAGCTCCCTGGGATCAGATACTTCTTTGTCAGCTTATTCTCAGATAACACAAAAATGAGTAAAAGAGGGACTGCAGACCCACAGACAAATCTGTGAAACCCTCTTTGATTTCAGCTCATTCTCTCAGCCATGCATTTAAATACCCATCAATTTTAAATGGGTTTGGTTAAGTAGCACAAGGGAATAATCCAAGAAGTCTCAAGTTACACTGGAAATGGGAAGCAAAAGACCAGCAAGCATTAATTTCTAAGGAAATCTCATGAAATGGAAATAAGTCAGTTTAGCTGTAAAATCTAAAATGTTCTTGTAGGACTGCAATGCAAGTTTTATGTTATAAATGAATAAAAGTTTAGCATGGAGAATAAATGAAGAAAGTGAAATACAATGGACAGAGAATCCTATGAAACAAGTATGGAAATAATCCATATTTATCCTAGGGTGACAATTTAAAAAGACATGCTCATGATATATCTTTCCTCTCTTGGCAAGACCTCACTGCTTAAATCTAACATTAAAATGACTGTATAGTTTTATTTACAGTAAGCTGAAGACTCTGAGAGTCCATTCAGTGCTTTAATTTTCCAGCAATAAAATTACAGGACACCAAGTCCAAGTCCAAAGGCTTTTATTTGTTTTCCTAGTTAGGGAAAGACATGTATGAAGATTATTTTTCTCTGGCCATTTCAGTGAACAGATGCTACTTAACGTCAGTTTAGTGGGAAACCATATGAAAAACCTGAATTCTACTCTTTCAAGATATTCCATTTTCAAATATTTCACTCTGTATTAATAAAACAAGTATGCTCTCTGGTAGTTGCTCTCTTAAATCAGGTGGACATTTATAAAATCTTTTCAATGAACTGTAGTTATGATATGTATACATCAAAGCATTAATAAAAAAGCAGCTGACTAGCAAACCATTGCTTTACTCCAAAGATGAAGAAGTCTCTGACCAGGAGGCATTCACCATTCATAAGTATTGAATTTCAAAACCTCAGGAAAGCATGACTACAGCTTGTTGGTGGCTCTGCTGATTGATTTTGTGTCAACTTGACAAAATCTGCTAGTAACCCTATGCAGCAAATCCCTTCTTGACATTACCCTATTTCTTTCACTGCACAGAAGTCTCTAGGAATAGACTCATCCAAATAAACAGTCTCTGATAGTTGAGGCAGAAATGGGACACCTCTATGTTCCCAAATAGAGAAAATTTATTTCCTTCTGGAATCTCAGGAAATATCAGGAAAACACCCTCACCCACCACTGTCAGACACAAATTTTTTTTAGATAGTAGGCAGTGTTTTCAATGCTTCTTTTCAGATAATTTTACTAGGAAGGAAGCAGGTGAAGCATTCAGCTGAGATGTCAAAGCCAGAAACAACAACAACAAAAAAAAACCAATTATGCTTCAATAACTATATAAATTAAAAATAAAAAAAAAAAGATCCCTGTTAATACTGAGCTGATAGGTAGAGAGATGATAATCACTCTATAAGAAAACAATGGACAACAGTCTACTGCCATTGTACATGATCAACACTTGGTAACAGAACATTTTAAAAAAAATAGGCTTGAAAGACTTGGTTCCTGCAAAGTATGGAATGAAATTCATTAACGTAAAGGAAGTCCCTGAACAGTAATTTCAGGGAAACAGAAGATATATGCTAAATATTTAAAGTGTCTGTTACTTCACTGTTGATTGCCATTGTAGATGAGGTAGTAAGTGAACCTTAGATTATATGATCTGTAATCCCACCTGGTACGTCCCTGTCTTTTCTTGAATAAACACTAAGTTGTCTCTAGAAATATTGTTTCTCTTGAAAAACTGTACTAACATATCTTTTTCATCTCATCCATACTCCTTGTGTTCCAGTCTAGTAATGTGAAATCTTTTACTATCCTTATTCCTTGAAGCGGTTACTCATTTTTGTTTAGGCCAGAAAATCTCAGTCCTCATTTCAGTTTCAATTCTGAAGCACAGCCGATAAAATACCTCCCTATCCTGGATCCCCATCCAAGATTCCAATTCTCTTCTGAATTTCAAGTTTTCCTTTTTGTGACACCTAGTCTTCTACTCCCACATTTCCTCTGGATCAATTCCTCACACCTTCAGCTTACATTTCTTAGCCTATCTATCCTTGAGTCTATACTACTATACACATTGTGGAACACATTTTCTTTAGCACTGCAGTCTCAGTTCTCTTTTAAGTTCCTTTGGAGAGAGAACTCTAGAAGAGTTGCTTCATGCTTTCCTTCATATTCTACCCATATCATCTTTTTTGTATAACCATTTCCATTCATTTTTTTCCATTACCTTTAAGTGTTCCTGACATTATTAAATTAGATATCTATCTCTCCTATGCACCAAACCTTTCATACCATTTGCTGCTGACCTGATGGTTCAGCCAGCTATCTATGAACTCTAGACAACCTGTAGTTAAAAGTAAACTTCTCTGTCTACTTCTCTGCTTCCAGGACCTTGTAATAGTCATTTTACAAAGTTTTGGCCTCAATGTTTTCACTGTTTCTTTTCTTCCTGTCTTCATTTAGACCACATGTCAGCATGGGGACACCAAATATTGCCCTCCAAATGAAACTGGAGAGTCAGCAACAACTGGAGAAAAAAAAAGAAAAAAAAAAAAAGGAGTGGTGGTATTTAAGCAACTTCATTTAATACCAACTGCTTTGTGTCCTTATATGTCAGTTGAGCAGGTAAGAGTATCCAGGGAACTTAAGGCTTGTCAACTTGATCCCCAGGAAGGGGATGGACCAAATAATCATAGAAAGCATCTATTAAAGCATGGGAGACAAGAAGGTGCGGAAGTCTTCAGCACAGACTACCACACAAAGAGGCAATCACTACTGATCAGCTCAGTAGCCTTCTATGGTAAGGGCTGATAGATGAACAGACAGCAGTGAATTTATCTCTAATTAGGCTCTCATAACACCTGTTACCTTGAGAAAAAAAGATAAGAGACCAAAATGAATGCTGAAACAAGATGCTGGACCTACTCTGGGACAACTAACAAGCCTAAATTGGGCTTCCTAAAGGAAGGATTCAGAGTCATTGTGATAAACTGAAGAATATTCTGTAAATCACTGCTTATTGTTAAGAGCCTATGATTTCCATAGCAGAAGTCTTTCTTCTTTGAAGAAACAAAGAACATAGAATCTGAAGGTGAGGTAGTTGTGAAGAAGTATATCGTATAGATAAATCGTATAGATAAACATCATAAACAATCATATCAATAATAATAACCCAGAATAAAGCCTTTATAAAACTCAAAGATAAAATAGCTGAATACGTAAAATGCAATGCACTACAGCTCTGGATTTAAATTAAATGTAATATCAATTTTCGGGGCTTTTTAAAGAAGAAAAGCTATCAGCTAGAACACTGATAATTGAAGCCTGATATTTTGTTGTCTTAACTACACAAATTAACAGAGATAAGACAAAGAATTACTGAACATGTTGAGGGAGTACAATACATAAGGACATATTATGGCTTATGTGAATAAGGGTGAAATATATATGGAGTGATAAACCTATATTTTATTTACATGTACATATCTATGTATGTGTTACTATTTATATTTATAATGATACAGAAGTTTAAACAGAAGTTAAATATACCTCAATCTGTGAAAGTTTAGCTATAAAATGGATACAATTCTCTTTAAAGGAGCTTAAGAGGGAATAGAAAATCACTCAGCAAAACTAAAATGCTGTGCTGGAGTTCTGTTTTATCTGTCTGCAGAATAAATCTAAACAGATTTAGGACGAGAGAGGACAAAGGGTCACCAGAAGGATCAGGGACATGAACAATTTGGAACACGCCCAGGAGGTATAGCCCTCTCATAGAAGGTTGAGTGGCTCATAATCTCTATAATGGAAGAAGTATCAGTGGAGATGGGCA